CATCCTCTTGAGGCTCACAGTCTGGTGAGGGAGAAAGACACTAATAAATAAATCACACATATATAAGAAGAGCCTGTGATAAGCTCTTTGAGAGGAAGAGCTGGAGCCCAGAGAACAGATAACCACGGAACTAAATCTAGTCCCCGAGAAAGTGACTTTTGAGCTGGGAGCTGAAGTATTCTGATGTGAGTGGAGACAATACACCAAGAACCACGGCTATGAAGTGAGGGAGGGAGAGAGGACAGGAGCTGAAGGAGAGAAAGGGCACTGAGGAAAGATGTTCCAATTATCTGTTGCTGCTTAACTGCCCAGAACTTAGTGGCTAAAACAAAAGACACTTTATTATACTTCAGGACTTTTGGGGTCAGAAATGCATGCAGCGTTGAGCTGTGTGATTATTCTACTCCATGTGGCACAGACAGAGGTCACCCATTGGTATTCAGCTGACAGATGGGCTGGTTTAAAGAGTCCAAGATAGCTTCTTTCACATGTCTGGCATCTTAAGGATAACTGGGCCCAGCGGGCTCCGTCAATAGGAGCATCTACCTGGCCTCTCCAGCATGGTGGCCTCCGAGTAGTCCAGCTACGTACAGGACAGCTCAGGGTACCAAGAGAGAGTGTTCCAGCAAACAAGGGAAAGGGTGAATGGCCTTGTATCACCTGGCCTCTGAAGTCACATAGCATCACTTTTGCCGTGCTCTGAGGTTGAAGCCGGCACAAACCCACTCAGAGAGGAGGGGTAAAGACCCCCATCTCTCAAGGGAGGAATGTCAAAGTATTTATAGCTAGGTTTTACAATCATCGCGATTGATTTATTTTCTAAGGAAGGAAGATATGTTTAAGTGCCGCTAGGCAGGATCAAGAGTTAGGAGCTATTGAAGACAGAGGCGAAAGAAAGGATAGTCAATTGTGTTAATAACTTCCTGAGGAGGCAAACTGAAACAAAGAAAGCTAAGTTCCCCATTTTTGCTTGACTCCGACTCTGCCAGCCTTCCCCCCACCACCCATCTCTGCCCCTTACTTTCTCTCTTTACTGCCAGATGCAGCAAGCTATAGCTATCACCCCAAGCTGACTTGGTGGCTGTCTTACAGGCCAGAAAACATCAAATCCAGTCCCATGCCATCTACAGCCACCATAGTCACACTTCACAGTTGGCACAACAGTTTACATATTATCTGACTAGAGGGTGGTCTAGCACCTATTGTTAAAGATTTCACCTTTTCCCTGGATTTTAATCATTTGTATTTAATCTACCTTACTAGGAAGTTCTTGCTTTTATCTTTCCGTTTAGAGGCAATCTCTCTTGTCACACTAAGAGATAGCAGTGAGGAGTTCAGCTTCTCACAATGGCTCTGTATTTATATGAATCCAGACCTTAAGGTTATCTAGGCAACCACCCCTGGACTGCTAAATCACTCCAAATCTCTTAATCTTTTCTTGAAGCTCCTTTTCCCCATTCCCTTCACTGAGGCCTCCAGTTTTAACTCATTCAAGACCAAATCCTCACCACTCTCACACTCGCCACTATCTATCGTGACCCTGTACACAAAGGCAGGCCCTAAAAGGCATAGTAATGACAGCCGAGGCTGTGGACTCAATTAAACCTAGGTGCAAATCCAGTCTCTGTCACTGTTTAATCCTGGGCAAGTTACTTAACCATTCTGAGCATCAGTTTCTTCATCTGAAATATGGGAAATTATAATATCCAGGTTCATGTTGTAATACTAGGTGTGATAATTTTATAGGGTTCTAATAAGGTAGCCCCATCCCAAGGATATAACCCAGCTCCTGGTCACACATCACACTGTCCCTTTGGCCTCTTTTTAACAGTGTTCATGATGCCTCTTCCCAGGTACTTCAAAGCCTACCAGGTACCATGTGCCAAAAAGAAGCTCCACGTCTCACCCCAGTAGCTAACCTGGAGGACTGGATGTTGTTCAGGCCAGCATGAGCTCTGGCCAGACAGACCTGTGTCAGACAGGGCTCTGCCACACTCCAGCTGTGTGATTTCATAAAAACCTATTTAGCCTCTCTGAGCTACAGTTCCCCCACATGTGAAAGAGGATGGATTAAATGAGATACTGCATTTGAAGCACTTGGCCTGGCTCAGAACAAAGCAAAGACTCAATAAATGGTAGCTGACACATAGTAGCACTAGAGTATAGTGACTCTGGAGTCATAGTTCCAAGGGTCACGTCCAGCCCACCACTTACTTACCAGCTATGCGCATGTGGGCACTTTTAACTTTTTTATGCCCCCGTGTCTTTATCTGTAAAATGAAGATAGTGATGGCAGAGAACTCATAGGGCTGCTATAAGAATTAAATGAAAGGGGTGGCTGGTTAGCTCAGTTGGTTAGAGTGTGGTGCTGATAACACCAAGGTTGTTCGATCCCCACATGGGCCACTGTGAGCTGTGCCCTCCTTAAAAATAATAATAATAATAATAATTAATTGAGATAATACATAGCACTTGAGAGATAATACACAGTAAGAACTTATTAAGTGTGAAGTGTTATTTCATTCTTTTACTTTGAACTTTTTTGTATATTTATATTTAAGGTGCATTGCTTATAAGCAGCATATAGTTGGATTTTGCCATTTAAAAATCCAGTCTTTGTCTTTATAAAAAAATCAGTTTTAAAATAGTCACAGGGATGTGAAGTACAGCATAGGGAATACAGTCAATAATATTGTAATAACTATGTATGGTGTCAGATGGGTACTAGATCTACTGGGGTGATCACTTCATAAGTTATATAAATGTCTAGTCATATGTTGTACACCAGAAATGAATGTAATATTGTATGTCAACTCTGCCACAATCAAGATATAGAACAGTCCCATCATCCAAAAAGTCCTCATGTGCCTTCACAGCCAGTCCCCTCCCCAGACTCCTGGCTCTTAGCAACCACTGATCTGCTTGCTTTCACTATAGTTTTGCCTCTCTCGAATTTCCTATAAATGGAATAATATACTATGGGACTATCTTTGTCTTTTCACGGGCAATTTTATCATGTTCACATTTAGTGTAATTACTGATATAGTCCGGGTGTAAGTCAAACATCTTATTATTTGTTTTCTGTTGTCTCACCTGTTCTGTATTCCTTTTTCTATCTTTTCTTGTCTCATTTTGGATTAGTCAAGTATTTCTTTTTTAAGAAATTGTATTGGGGAACAGTGTGTTTTTCCAGGACCCATCAGCTCCAGGTCAAGTAGTTGTTTCAGTCTAGTTGTGGAGGGCACAGCTTCTTGGCCCATGTGGGGAATTGAAACGGCAACCTTGGTGTTATGAGCCTGCGCTCTAACCACCTGAGTTAAGCGGCTGCCCCTTAGTCAAGTATTTTTGTCATTTCATATTCTCCATCTATTAGCTGACTGGTTATACATTTCTTTACTCTTCTTTCAGTGATCATCAGAGCAGTGGTTCTTAAAGCGGGGTCCCTGAACCTGCAGCATCAACGTCACCGGGGAACTTGTTAGCAAAGGACATTCCCAGGCCCATCCTGGAATCGTAAACTGTGCGGGTGGAAGCCAGCAGTCTGGGTTTAACGAGACGTCCGGGTGGTGCTGATGCACACACTAAAGTTTGAGAACCCCTGCCCCAGACAACTTTTGCTTCTGGCAGGCAGCTAATCCAATTAGGGAGGAGCTGATTCAAAGCCTGGTTTCTGTCTGCTCCTATGCCTAGGGATAGCCCTAAAGAGGTCCCAGTTGATAACTGGGGGTGTTTCCTGGGGCCCCTCCTCCTTAACAGGACCTGAACTCGTTTTTCTCCCCAGCCTCTGATGCTGTTGGAAGAAGGGGAAAGTGGTGCCAAGGGTCAGGCTCACCTCTCCATGTTTCTGTTTCCTGTGGGATCTTGGCACTTTGACCTCTCAAGTTCTTGCTCCCTTGGCGATTCTTCGATGCCTTCGCATTTTCCCCTAGCTTTTCTAGATATTATTGGCAGGTTTGGTGTGACACAAGTTCGTCTGCACAGCTAGAAGAGGAAGCCCTCATCCTATTGTTATTCTCCCGCTAGAATTATGGAGTCAAAATGAGTACTAAGAACAGTTCAGTGTCTGGCGTGTGGCAAAAAGCTCCTAAGTGTTAAGTTATTATTAGTATTCTCCCAATAGAATCCCAGGGTCATATTGAACTGAACTGTTAAAAATCACCCCGCTCTACCCTGTCCATGCACTTTATAGATAAGCAAACTGGTGTTACACTGTATGACTGGACTGCAGTACAATTGAACCCCAGTGGGAGGCTGTAATTGGACTCCTGTGGATTCCTGGGTGGCTTCCTGTCCCTGGCTGGGAGGTGGCAGTGTGCTCTCCATCCTCAAATCAAGGACTGGAAAACCTTAGAGCTCAGCTCAGTTCTCAGCTCGAAAGAAAACAAGCCAAGGCCTGTAGTTCACAGATCTACATTCTCTCGCTTTCCTCTCATGGGGCCCAGAGCTCTAGCCTCAACTGCATGATTTGGAGCAATCTTCTTAGCTTCAGAGTCCCAGACGCCTCATGTCTGTCCTATGGAGCAGAGTGCACACATACACACTCTCTCTCACACAGGCATGCTCACCAGCAAGCACACAGAGCTGAACGCAGGGTAGACCAGGCAGCAGAGGTGGAGATGGAAATGGCTGTGCTTTGAAACTGGTGCCTTAGTCCAGGGAACAGAGAGAGAGAGTCAGCCCTACACAACAGGCCAAAACGTCAGGCCAGGCCAAGGGCAAAGAAGGCTGTACCTGGGGACCTGCCACCCCCTCCTTCTGGCCAGAATTTAGT